TTTTAAGCCAATTATGTAAGGTTGAGACCCATTGTGTTAGCCAAAGTATGGCAAGGGTTGTTATTACAACTTTATGTGAATACACACACACACATACACACAAAAGGTTGTGGTTGAGGTTTAAAATATTTGTATTCTAGTGATGTGGTTTTCAGAGGTGCGCTTGGGTCTTGTGGGTTTACTTGCTAGACCCATGTGTTGGAAATGACTTAGAAGTTCAGGTCGTTATACTAAACTTGCTCCTTCCTCATCAAATTGGTCTATTTTTTTCTCCTTATCTTCTTTTTTTTTTTTTACACTTTCTCATAATATCAAGTGATCAATTTTATATCCTCAACCACATTTAAAAAAAAAATAGAGATGTCAACGAGTAGGGTACCTGTTAATTTTGAGATACTCAAACCCAAGCCCAATTAATACGTAAGGTACCCGAACCTCATAACTATCCAAATATTTTTAAGATTTATTATCCGAACCCAAACCCTATTACCATCCACTATCTGGTAATTATCCGAGCCCATATAAAAGCTCAATTATGTAAAATAAATAATTATCTATTACGGATACGTAATTACCCGAACTCGAATCCGAAACCCATATATAGAATAAATTATATTTTACATCTATACAATTCATTAATAATTAAATTTATAAAAGCAAACAAACAGTAAAATTTTAATTCAAATAACCAAAAACTAATATCTCAAACAACAATTTGAATAATTAAAAACAAATATCTCAAACAGATTATCAGTTATAGTTATTATTTTTATTATGTTTTTATTTGTACATATAAATAAAATGTTGCTAATAGTTATTATCACTTAATAGAAATTCTTTAGTACGTTTTATTGATGTAAGTATAAATGCAACACTAATAATTTTATAAGATATAATTTTTTGTAAATTACAAGTTTTATTTATATAGTAATGACAACAAACAAAATATTTTATCATAATGAGTATATTGTAATGTTTATATATAAATTGAATATATTAATATTATAACCTATTCATGTAACATATTAATACGTAGGATATAAGTATAGTAATTATTATTAAATATAACCTATTTAATATGTTAATAAGTATGTAGTAAATGGTAATGTTTATATATAAATTAAATATATTAATATTTATAACCTATTTATATGTAGAATATTGGTTTAAATAGAGAAAACAATACTATATAGCATAGGTGTAATAATTATAACTTATATTATTTAAAATATATAACCTATAATTACATATTCTATGACTTTAACACATAATCATATTATTTATGTTCTAAATTTAAAAATGTAAATACCTATTATACTTAATACAAGTATAATTGATTGCTATATTTAATTATAACACTTTGCAATATATATATATATATATATGGAAATTATAGTAATTATATTCCTTTAATAAGATATTATTTAAACATAACTAATAATTTAATAGTTTTATTATTTAATTATATTAATGGCATATCATTAATAATTTGACTAATAATAATATATTATAAATAAAAAGTTCAATTCCTAACATTAACAAAATTTTATATATTTATTCATTTAGTGTATACTATATAATACATAATTGTATTCAAGTATCGAGTACCCAAGGAGTGCTACTTGAATCTACTTGAACCTGATACAGGTGGTAAATTTATTGCTTGAACCTGCATTAAACCCAAATATAAGGTACTTTAACCCTAAAAAATTGTGTTGGGTACCTGTAGGTATCCTACACCCATTGCCATCCTTACAAAAATGTCTTCAAGTTGTCATTATAGTTAAGTAACCATTATCAACTTAAGATCATATATTTCAAGTTAAATGCTTAAATTAGGCCTAAACGTTTGGATTTTTTTCAATTAAAGACCAAACATTTCAATTGTAACAATTAAGAGTTAAACATTCTCGATTTCTTACAATTAGAATCTAAGTTGACAAGTGGATAGAGTGTGTATCTTACACAACAGAAAATCACTTGAGCTGATGACAAGGCATGTTGGGAATTGTTATTGTTACTTTTTGTGAAAAGAGTATTGGAAAAAGTATTGTTAACGTCATGTTAAAAAATTTAGTGTTACACATCATGTTGGAAATAATTGTTACATATCATGTTGAAAATGTATTTATTATACGTCATATTAAAAATTTAGTTGTTACATGTCATGTTAAAAAATGTAGTTATTACATGTCATATTGAAATTTAATTATTATACATTATGTTGAAAAATGTAATTGTTATATGCCATGTTGATAAAAAATTTAGTTGTTGCACGCTATGTTAAAAAATATAATTGTTACATGTCATGTTGAAGATTTAGTTGTTACACATTATGATGAAAAAATTGTTACACACCACACCATAATTTGAATAATTTTGACTTAACAGAAAAAACTTTCTGATAAAACTACTATTTAATATCTTGCACGACAAGTCAGAGTGCACATCATGTGTATGTCTTGCACATATCAGACACCTCTTACCTTAGGCTTTAATTGTAAGGAACCAAAAACATTTGGCTCTTGGTTGTTACAAGTGAAATGTTTGATCCTAAATTGACAAAAATCCAAAGATTTTGTCCCTAAATTGAGCATTTTCGTAACCCAAAAGATTAGACATACTCAAAATCAAATTAAGATAGACATATCAGTTCTTAGAAATCCATAAAGCAAATAGATTTACTAGTTTCTAGAGGAATAAATCATCATCACAATTCATATAAACCTTTCATTGCCTATCGCTCCATGACGATATCCCGATGTTTGGGGGTGAAATGCAAGAACGTAATAACTTTTATCATTAGAAGGGTGATGAGCGAATTGTGTGTGTATATGTTATTGATTTTTCACGTAAGTGCACGTTATCGCAAATAAGTAATATAGTGATGAAGTATAGTATCGTTCCCACAGTGATTTGTTCCTAAATCTTTACTAAGTATTAAAATTTATGACAAATTAATCGTATTTAAGTAATTAAATTTTTTAAAATATTAATTAAAATAAAATTAAAACAAGCATTAAATTAATTAATAGAAATTAAAATTACTTGGAAAAGGCAATAGACAATACCTAGGATTATGAGTTGATTCTACATTTCATCTGAAACTAACTTCTCTTATTATTTACATTCATGAGTGGTTTTATTAATCTAGAATCCAAAGCTATATACAAGTCTCTGTTGAGATGCTTATACAAATACCTAACTTAATTGAGTCACTATATGTTTATAGTGATCAATTAAATAAGGTTCATTAAGTTAGTGTTTTAATTTGGTTATATATGGCAATTGATGTATATCTACCTAAATTACGAATCATATCACCTAAGTGATATGAACATACACTATTCAAAACTTAGTTCAATCAAAAATCTTTTTGTCGAGTTTCAATTAGATTCACAAATCAGTTAATTATTCGCTAGTTAATCATAAGCATTAAGAACATATTTGAGTAAGCAAAACTATACTCATTCATAATAAATAAAAGAGAAACTAATATACAAACTCCATGTTGAAATCTATCATAATCTAAGAAAAATAATTTAACACATTAAATCTAATAAAAAATAATATCCAAAGGAATTTAGCTATGACTTCAAGTCAAAGAAAACAAGAGAAACATAAAAATATAGAAAAAATTAATTGTTGAAGCTTTGCAATCTCAATTCTCTCTTAAATTCTTTTGCTTTGTTCTTAGCTCTTTTTCTTTAGAGTAGTTGCTTGTTGCCTTCTCTAAAACCTTTGAAAAAGTCCCTTAAATAGACTTCAAGTAACCTAATTTTAAAAATTTGTTAAATTTTTATTTTTGAAAAACCGTCCCTTGCCATGGTCATGACTCCTTGGCGTCATGGTGTTGCCTTTTTGCATTAATAGTGCCACGGCCATAATTTCTTGATGCCGTGGCACTTTAACCTCGAAAAAATGTATGGTGCACTACCTTTCACCAATATTGTAGCCTTGTTCTCCTCAATGCTGCGGCCTTGGCTTCCTCGACCTTGCAGCCTTGAGTAACTCAAGGTCGCGGCCTTTCTCCACACGCTGCTTTGTGTAAAATTGCAAAAGTTAAGCATTTTCTAACACTATATTCACCTAGATTTGATCCGAACTGAGTGAAATGGTAAACATAAAAGTTTTAACCTTGTCTCTTAACTTTTCAATGGCTTAAGAATTACATTAATTGGACTTTTGAGGTGAAAGATATGCTTGGGTGAAGTAGTAAACATAAAGGTGTAACCCTTACTCTGAACATTCTAGTGGTTCAAGAATCACCTCATTTAAAGTCCTATATAGAGAGATATGGTCAAATACTGAAATATATATAAATAAAGTCATTACCATACTTGCATAAAAGAGAAATCAACAATAACTACTCTTAAAATAATTTAAAACAAAATAACATAAAATTAAACTAATATAATTTAAATTAACTACTCTTGTACCATGTAACCTTCGCAATGTGTTCAGTCAAACAATCCATGCCAACTGCGTAATCGCTCCACCAATAAAGATTAGGATTTCTTTCATGTACTGCTACTATGAAAAGAGGAGAAAGCTGGAAGCTATATTGAAAGAGTTCCTGTCCAAATTTATTGGATTTCTTTCTCTAACCTGAATTATTATACTTGAGTCTAGTTATTTTCTTCGGCTACTTCTTTGGTTGGTTTTGGATCGTCAGTTGTATTGTTTTTGTTGCCACGCATATACTAGAATAAATTGGATTATTATTGAAAAATGGTAATACTAGTCGCGCTCTCTGGGGTGGTGGAAACGAAGTTCCACTACATGGCTTTAAAGAATGACCTGAAACATCTTAATTTATGGAGTAAGGATCAGCATATTATAGAGTTCTTAAGCCTCTGATGTAAAATAGTAGTTTGCATTGCATCTCTATAAGCAAAAAAATTGGCACCAAAACAACATCCTTTAACAAGATCAATATCCCTATACTGTAATTGCAAGCAAAAATTATAAAAAAAAAAAAAAGGACAACTGCCATTTTTTCAGTTGACTGCAACTTCAGCAGACAGGAAACTTGGATGAAGGGCATCTTGGCCAGACACTTTAGCATTTGAGAGCTTGAGAACCTCCACAGCTTCCTCCACTTTGGCAGCCAAGGATTCTGGTGACTCTAGTAAAAGAAGCAGTTCAGAGTTGTCCATCTCTAAAAGCATCCCTTGTATCTTCGGAACCAGATCAGGCTGCAAAAAAAAAAAAAGAGGAAAAAGTTAACCCTATATGTAGAAAAATCCTTAAATTTTATAACATGCCTTCAGACGCAAATTACCTGGTGTTTCTGAACAAGGGGGTAGAGTCGTTCACCAAGAATTGTTTTTTGCTGCTCAGGGGAAGCGGCAGCAAGCATACTACTCAGCATCTCAGATCCTTGTGATACAACTGCAACAGAATTGGAAGCAGCTGGTGGCACTCCCGAACCCCTGTTCACTTCTCGTCCACGACCATTTGGCACATATTTAGCTTGCCCAACCCGCTGCAATATATAGCTTGCAGGGATCAGAAAATTTGAAATATAGCTTGAACATGTCAAAAATAGAATCACGTTAAGAGAAAAACAAACCTGATGGTTGCTTTGATCTTTCAAAGTAGTGCCCGATTGAGCGGGCTGTTGCAATTGGGGCACAGAGTAACCACCCTGCAGAAGAGCATGCCCGTTCATCCTACCCCGGTTTTGCCTAGTTTGTCTTGTAGCACTAGGAACCTATGGTACAAAAAATATATTAAGTATTGGAACAGTTGGTAGTTTGAACCGCTAATGTACTAATTAATTTGATGTTGCTGGAATGAAGTGAGCAGAATAAATAAATACCATGGGCAGTGATGATGGTTGAAAGGCTGGTCTGGTTGGAGGTGTGAAGGCATTAGCCCTCCAACCTGCCCTCAAACCTAAAGGCTGGTACATCATCCCCGGCCGAGGAGGTACCGGTGAAACAACGCCAGGTGGAGCTGTGTAATAGAGTGGAGGATATCCTCCGGGGAGAACAGCTGTGGAAGGCCCTGCTAATCCTGCCATACGCTGTGCATAATGAAGTTGCAAGTGTGCTTGTCTATCCTCCTTCCTTTGGGCAATAGCTACATACAACGGCTTGCGGTGAAACATATGTCCTGTAAGATACACAAGGATGAGATCATTGACAACTTCAATGAGAAGGAGTGACTAATTAACTTGAGAGGCATACTGGATGATCGCCATTATGGGTAGCACAATCCTTTTTCTTTTCCACTTCATTAACTTACCATGAAATGTGCTAACTGCTTTAGTGGCCTCCTCAGGGGTAGAGAAGCACACAAATCCAAACCCCTTGCTTATTCCTTTGTCATCTCGCATAAGTTTTGAAGAAGTAATTGTACCACACTGACTGAAATGTTCTTTTAGCTCTTCATCAGTCACATCATCATCAATATTCTTGACATAAACATTTGAAGCCTGCAATTTGAACAAAGATATAGTAGAATGATAATAAATAACAAGAAAGGATAAGCATGTGAATTGCATCAGCCAGAGAAATGAGCGCAGGATTACTTTATATTTCATGATCTGCGCCTTCCGTTTTTCCTCAAACTGACGACGCAATATTTGCTGCCGTTCTGCTTTCTTCTGTGCCCTTGCTACATATAGAACCTTTGAGCCTAATCAATACAACCGTAGATCAAAACAAGAGAGGTGTATCAGTCAGTTGTTCCCAGCAGTTAAGGTCAAAAAAGAAAAGTGTTAACAAAACCTACCAAGTTGTGAACCATTCATCGCTTCCATTGCCCGCTTGGCATCATCTGGACTCTCAAAGTTGACAAAGCCAAAGCCTCTTGAGGCACCATTTTCATCCTTTGCGACAAACAGGCTAGCAATTTTCCCAAACCCAGAAAATTTATCTTGCAAAAGCTCTTCTGTGATATCTGCATCCAAATTCTTCATATACAAATTTGTGTATTTGACATCAGGACTTAGCATTACCCGATCACTCTTTTTCATAAATTTCCCAACATATCTGCACCACAAAACATATAATCATTACAACACAGAGGCAAAATGCTAACAGAAAAAAGAAAATAGTCCTTACATCTGCTTATCACCCAAAGTGGAGCCATTCAGCTTCTCAATAGCGGCATTTGCAGATTCCTCTGACTCAAATTGAACAAAGCCATACCCCTTACTCTTCCCATCCTCAAATGTGGCAACTTTGCAAGATATTACGTTCCCAAACATGCGAAATAACTCTTGCAGTCCCACATTATCAATCGTATCACTCAAATTCTGAATAAAACAAACCAAATGCATATCACATTCAAGAGAAGAAAATGAAAGTAGTAATTGATAATATTTGTCAATCTAAATTAACATCTGTTCACTACCTTAACAAACACATTCCCCACTCCACTTTTCCTTGCATCAGCATCTCGAAGCGACCACATCACCCTTATCATCTTTCCATTCAGCAAACTGTGATTCTTTGCCTCGATAGCATGATGTGCTGGTCAACCCAAAAGAGGAAAATACATTTTAGTTTAACCGAGAATTTACATATGAAATTAGAAACCACCAACTGCAGAACATCCCATCGACATCCAATTAACTCTTCCTCCACAATCAGAGTGCTTATATAGGAGGGCATACAATAAACAGAATAAATGGAATATAAATGATAAAAAAAATAAAGAAAACCAAGATTGTAGCAGAATAAATCAATGAAAGCCAAAAGTTTGTAATTCCTGTGAGATCAGTAATACAAAGATGATGTCTGAACTAATAACATAGGTGTAAATCTTGAACCTTCGCTTTCGATAAATTTAATGAGTTTCTATTAAACAAGGACATCAATACAGGTTTGGAAGTCGACCCGATAGCAAATCTCAAAGATCAAACGTAATTGGCAATTGGAAAATATATTTGGTTTAAGCAAAAGCCAAAACTTATGTAAAGAAGATCATCAAATCTTCCAACAATAATAAAGAAACGAAGTAATAATTTTTTTTTTTAAGAAAAAAGGGTTACTAAAATATTTGACGTACCATCCTGAGGAGATATGAAGTTGACATAGCCATAACAAAGAGACCTTCCTGTAGAAGAGTCCCTACACACACGGACAGAGGCCAAGCTCTTGAACTCAGAGAAAGCGTCAAAGAGTTGGCCGTCAGAGACGTCAGGGTGCAAGTCCCCAACGTACAATGAAGCCGGCGACGCCGCCATCGTTACCGCCGATGGAACCGCCATTATTAATTATATAATAATTCCCACTAGTGTAGATGTTGATCACTTTTCCAACAGAAGAGAAAAACTGTTATACCCAACAAAACCGACAATGGCATGCAATGGCGTTTTGGGATTGTTCTAGAAAACAATAAAGGAAAGAACCAGAGAGAGAGAGAGAAGTGGCGTTTCCTTTCGGTTTTATTTTGAGAGTGATTAATTTAGAAGGAGTTTGATTTTGTTTGAGAGAGAAAGAGGGATGAAAAGAGCAGAGAATTTTTTGCATGAACGCAAGGTGAGAGCTTGGGACGTTCAACTATAAGCAATGCAATCCGTTGCGTTATCCTACTCGCCTTTTTAGAGCGTTTCCACCGCTTCCCCATTTTCTCCAATATTTTATTATAAAGGGAAACACAAAATTGAAAGTCAGAACTTTTCCTCAATACAATAGTAGGAAGCGGAGAGTGTAGTCGGAGAGGCGCGTGAGGAAATTTTGGAGGCGGGTTTCTGTTTGTTAACACGTGCGAAAGAAAACTCCAAACGTAAAAGGTTAAAAAAGGGAAGAGACCTAAAACCAAAAGACTGCTTCAAACTTGGGGAAAAACGCTTTCTACAGTCCGCTCTCCCTATGATTTTCGGGAACCTTTTACATCCTCTATTTACCCAAACACCCCGCCTTCATTCACGGACACGTGCCTTCTGTCCCATTTCCATATCCCTTGTATTTTTATTATTTTCTTTTCACTTTTTGAACATAAAAATAAAAAATATATATATATATATATATATTGATATAGATATCTCATGTTTTTAATACTATCATAAAAATTGAAGTCAATCTTTATTATATATCTTTTAATCACAATAACGTTTACTCTTCACTAAAATATTTTTAAAAAATTGAAATTTTTTGTTTATTTTATATGTAAGAATTAGACATTTTTTAAATTAAAAATAAAAATCTGATAAATATTATCTGACCTCACCCAACTATTCATGTAAATTTCCCACAAAAAAATCCTAAGATCGAAATAGACTAACGATTTACGAATAAAAAAATCAATGCAATGATAGTGATGTATAATTGACTTGGGTAAAAAGATACGATAAGTCTTGAATTTAATTTAAGTAAAGAGATACAAGGAGCGAAATTCACGCTCTCCCTAAAACTTGCACAACATGATTAAAATCTGAAATGTGTGAGAGTGGAATGAGTCAAAAAGGTTGTAAACTCACTTCCATCAACAACATAAAGGAGCATTCAATGATTCTGGGCAATTATCAGGGCAATTATCAGCATTTTTTATATTACCAAACAAGCAATGATGTTTACAAAAATTGACTTGTAGCATGGACGGACACCAAATGTTACTTCTTCTACACGTATAGCTAAAACCAGATCAGAAAAATTGAGTGCCCTTGTTCTGCTTCCAACTTCCAATGGCAACATATTACCCGTACAACAGAGATAATATACAAGTCTAGCAATGCTTGGCATGGGAGAAGGCCAAGTTATCCACCAGATAAGTAGAAGACCTCCTGCCCTCTTCACAAGCAATCCAAATCAGAGAAGGATCTTACACTCTGGAGATAACTACCTTTGCTATCTTCCTGAAGAGCACAAATGCCTTGCCGATCACCATAAATAAAGATCGGACAATCTACTATATGTAGAACAAAGAATGAATTTTCAGACTTGAGGTTTAAATTACAAAAATTGGAACTCCACAAACTCTAAGAGTTGCATTAGTAGAGTTATAAAACTCAAAGGTATAAGCTTGAATAGCATCTCTCTTGTTGAGCTACTCACACTCAGCTGTCCTTCATTTATGAAGTCCTTACTGGAAGTAATAGAGACATTTACAGATAATGAACCTGACAAGTAGAAATTCAGAGACATGTAAGAGGCACTGGGTCAAGTTGCTAATGAAACACTAAAATTGTGGGGGTAAAAGGCATATAATAATATTCTTAATTGAACTTACAATCATAATTAGCCCATCCAATTCGTTGACGAGCGAGATCATAAACAAATATCTTATCTTTTAAGACAAGATCTGCAAAATGAATAAACCATAAAAACCTAACCATTCATCTTTAACAAAGTAAAGAAGTCGAACAAATACATGAAAAGGTGAGTATTATAAATAGTGTAGTGCAAAATAACTGGTGCAATTTGCTGAAATCCTCCATTCAAAAAGTCCCCTTAACTTTGAGGATTTATCAGTTCATGCAACACTCATTTCAAATTATGCCGCAGGGCAAAAAAAAAAAAAAAACATATAACTGGGAGCTGAAGCAAAGTGTTTCTTGTTCCAAACTTTAATCCATTCAAAGAAAACCAGTATCTAACCTCCTAAAATGGTTATTCCACCCTGAACCTTTAGGAAACCAATGCACCACATTGTAGCACCATCCTGCAACAACAAAGTGATATTACACTTCATGCAACAGAAATTCCATTCACAGTGATCATTTCTACATCATAACTTTGAGAGAAATGTAGAATTAAACAGAGTACTTAGGTAGCACAACTTACATAGAAACCGGAATGTATAAGATACTCTTCTGGTTTTAATGTCATTGATGCACCAGCAGCAAAATTTAGACTAACTGGGGGAAATATCTCATTTACACTGAACATAAAACAGATATTGATCTTATTTAGATTAAATGATACTAGGTGCAGGGAACAGATGAATAGGTGGATACCAAAAAAGCACAGGAAAACAAAAATTGTCTCCGAAGATAAACATAACTATGAAACTACTACATGAAAAATAAAGCTAGAGAATTACCTAGTGGGGACAAGATAACATTGGTTTCCTTTATAAATGGTGGGAGTCACAGATGGTGAAACAGTAGCAGTTATCTGCCAATTTAACATGCAAGTCAACTTCAGAACACATTAGTTGTAAGGTAGTTCAATACAACTAAATATCTTACGCCTTCAGGGTGCAATCTCAAGAACAGATGTTTGTTTTCTATTTCACCACTTAACTTTAGTTTTCCTTAAGGAAAATTGAAAGAATATTCATACTTACAGCGCTGACAAATGGATCATATGCCTCTTGCACAAGGTATGCCAAAGTTGTTCCAGAGTCAACAATGGTACCACGATTATTTGATGTTGCAAAAACTGATGGATCAATTGCCAGACTCTGTCCATTGACAGCAATGCTCTGTAGAACTAAATTATAATGAGGCCTGAAAATTTTAAATAAGGAAATGGTCAAACTTGCTGCAAAATTCGTAGCCATATATTCCAAATGAAACCGAAAGAACAAATGTTACACAAGCAAAGACTATGATGGTTCATGAATACATCAATTCACCAACAAAAGAAAAAAACTCAGCATGTTGACAACATCAACCTCGCCCCTTCAAAACCCTAAACTCCTTCCCATCCCCCAATCAAAATCATATAAAAAAATGATGTGTGACGGTAGTTAAACCAAGCTTTTGCAAGATTCAAGAGCAGCCTTGACTCTTGGAAAGAGTGGTAATAGAAAGAACATATACAGCAGTATCAACTAATGCCTTCTCCATAATACCACATATTAAAATCAGAGCATAGTTTAAGATGTAAAAAACAACCATTATAGAGCAAGAGGAATATCTGATTTCTAGAACCACTGCCAGTGCAAATTGTCGGCAAGACCAATCTTTTTTTATATTAAGAAAATCCACCCAGCAAAACACTAATTGCTGGGAAAAATGAAGCATTAGTTTTTGAAAATGATGAATCACAACATCAGAGCCAAAAGCATGAGCACCAAACAAACGGTGCAGGAAAGGGAGAGAAGGCCTGAAGGGCCACCGAGGCACCAGTAAATATGCTACTTTTTCTTTCATTGACACAAAATATTACCCAGGTCCCCAGCACTTAACTAGTAAGTGGAATAAATTCAAAGTGACCAACAGCATGTTAAAATGAGGGAATAAGCGAGACGTCAGAATGTAAGCAGAATGGACAAAAACAACAAAAGTTATGCAAGAAAGAGGACATACTGTGATGGAACAAGTGGACTATAAACAATGCCCGGCTCCATAATCTCACCAAGAACCATTATACCCCCTCCACTGCCATCTCCTCTCAAACAATGTGAGAAAACTCTAGGTGTTATACCATGGGATGATAATTGTGATATAACAGACAGATCACCTCGGCCAAAGCCAAATATCCCATCCACAGCTTTATCAGTTTTAGTTAAGTCACCAGACTGATACGTGCTGCACCTGTTACACGCCATGTCCATAGGGGAATAAGTCTTAAATAACAAAGAAAATTGAGAATAACATAAATCAAACAGCCATTAAGACTGTTATTTGATGCAAGGCATAGTCAAAGGAGAAATAACATGCAAAATTGCTTTGCTGCAGATGGAAGATACTATATGTGACTTCCTTTTACATGAACAAGTTTACATTCCCTCCTCTATGGTCAAATCAAAGTGCACTAGCAGAACTCAACATCAATCTCACTTCAAGCTCACTCCACATGCTCAATTACTTATGATTGTATTAAATCCAATCCACTGTCATGACATTTAAACATTTTTATTTTTTAGTCCATCATTGTATATAAAGATCACACCAGACTTATACTGATTGATAACCAAGAAACCTTATCTCAAAAGAAGAATTCCATAAAAGACTAAGCTGGTCAGGCTTTTCCCTTTTTTTTTTTTTCATTGGTTTCATTTATCTTAATGGTTCTTTCCAATCCTATATTTTAGCAGACAGCCAACCTCTATTGAGTTATAGAAGCTCACCCAAAAACGATGACAGCCGAAGAGTTAGCAATCAAAGACTGCCCCAAAACAGCGTCAAAATACAACATATCAGATACATAATAACCTGATGTCCCACTTCCATCTCCATACTGGAAGGAGTAACTGCATTGATTGCTCTGAGAACACTGCGTTGCAGTAGTTTGAAATTCTGAAGAACACATTGGATCTGAACAAGAAACTAGCCTAGCAGATGATGAACTAGCCGTGTCAAATAAACTGAGCTGAATCTGTACAATGCAGGACATCACAAGTTAGCAATGACATTTTCAATTGTCATTTTCATTGCAAAACTTATCAAATTATTAAAGTAAAGGGAAGGGGGTTTTACTCCGAGTCCACTGGATTGAGGACAATTAGGGCAGGAGCTGCAGGTGACCCATAATATGTCACTTCCAGTGTCTATCTGCACATTAAATTCTCTAGGAGGAGATCCAAGTTTCACCTTTGTAAAATAAAGCCTAAACCAAAAAAAGAAAAAACAAAGAATTAAAGAACAAAATCAATGCCACTATCAATTTTATATCCCAATACATTATCAATTTCATTTCATGCTAAGGAAAGCGTGGAAAAACAAAAAGAACTCAAGACAACAACAACAAAATTGAATGACAAGAAAACTAACGATACAAATAAAATAAAAGTAAAAGGAAGACAATATTTCATCTTTGGATATACCCAAAAAAATTAAAAAAAGCGATCTCTTTCTTCTTTTTTTTTTCTTTCCTCTTTTTCCATCAGCCTTCATTATCTTCCACCTCTTCAGCAGTCAAAACAAGCGTTAAGATGAAGCAGAAAACAAGGAAAATAATTAAAGGCCATATTCGCCAAATAATAACAAAAAAAAAACTTAATCGATAAATAAGGAACCTAAAAGTTACCCATTTCCATACTACACAAGTTCACCAAAGAAAATCCATCAAAGAGCATAAACTAGAAATTCAGATTAAAGGAGAAAAAGAAAAACTTGTCTAAAAAAGACCAGCTTAAATTCACCAACAAGAAAATAACAAAACCCATTAATGCAAAACCAAAAAAGGAGCCTCAGAATCTTTAAATAAAAAAAAAAGAAATAAAGAAACAAAGGGGTAAGCTAAAATTACCCGACGAGGTAGGGATCGGAGGAGCCTTGAACAGAGAAGTCCACGACACCACCAACGAGACCCTGCAAGATTCGGGAGTGTCTGAGTTGGTCACGAGCTACGAGATGACTCAACTCAACTCTCTTGTTCAAAGGAAAAGCTCTCTCCAGTGGGATAACATTACAGTAAACCACCGACAAGACTGCTAAAATCTCCAAGATCAGCAGACTCAAAGCCCGCATTTTCCAAAGGCTTTGAGAAAATTGAAAAAGAATATGAGAGTTTCTTCTTTATAAAGAGATATCGAAATACAAAGATCGATCCTGTTTGGCTCTCTGCATTGAGAAAAATAAAAGAGAGGAAGCAAAGGATAAGAAAAGAAAACGAGAGTGTGAAGAGAAAGGGAGAGTGATCAACGGGAGATTTTTCAAAAAAAAAAACAAAGGAGAAATGGATTCAGTTGATTAATTATGAGCTACATAGAGGGAAATAATATAGTTAGTAACAGAAGGATGTGAAAAGACGAAACTGTCCTTCATTTATTATGGACAAGGAAATTCAGTTGGCAATCATTTGGCCGTAAAATTCTTTGTAGGTAGCATGCTATACTGTGTACATCAATTGATTCACTTTTTTTTTTAACATGAAATTTTATGTAATTACACTTTTAAATATATATTTTGATATTAGGGGAATTTGCCTAGAAGTTTGGTTTTTACAATATTGGTATAGAAAGAAAGCATGTGATGTTGGATAATAGGAAAATGCCAGGAAGAGGAGAAGAAAAGTTATAAAGTTGACCTAAAGTCTTCAAAGGGTACAAATTTGAAGATATTGATTGATTTTTTATTAAGTTTTTATTTGACCAAATTCTTTTTAAAAGGAAAAAAAGTCTTAGTAAGTCAATGCTTTTAATGAACAACAATATTAAGGAATATAAGTTTATGATATGCTGATTTAACTAGTTTGGTCTTTAAGAAAATATTTAGGACAAGTGTAATTAAAATTATTGAATCAAGATTTAATAATTAACTATAAGGGGATATTTTGGGCAATGTAAGAATTTCAGTTTGTAATTAAAAAAAAGGGGATACAAAGGTTGTACTTGAATACGTTAAGGTATGAAATTAAAATATAAGAATGGTTAAAAACAAAGACAAAAATAGTAGCCGTAAGGCACACTGCAAGGTAGTAATATTGTCCACATTTTAAGGGTGTACGGTGCGTATTAGCACGCCTGACTTGACCAAAGAGGCGAAAGAGGAGCATCGGCACCACACGGCACGCGTAGCTGTTGCGACTAGAGTTCTGACGCCACGCTTGTATTTGTCGGTAGCGCCTCGAGCCCATAGGGACCCCACTATCTTTGAAAGGGAAATATGTGCTACATTTAATGAGAAATAATAAAAGCTTTGGAATTAAAAGCTTCAATTTTTCACATTCCAAGCTTTGGAATTTATATAGATATAACATTAAGGTTAAAGGCATCGTTGTCGCCATTGCTATTTTCTGCTTGTCAAAGAAGGATATGGGGAGAGTTAATCCTTTAAGCAGCCGATCGAGCCAATGCTTACTGACTCGAAGCGCATAGTGACAGCTGGACACATCCCTCTTAGTGGTACGGGGTATCTTGACCCCCTAATGGGCACTTTCCAAACTGTGCTTAGACTTGAATGGGCACTTTCCGTGCTATTGAGCAACGGGCATGCGCTAAAGGAGGCTGAAAATGAACTTGAAACCCAGGTGGGAATTAAGGGGTCGGCGAGTGGAGGAGTCGGACATAAAAAACCTCATCATGCAACTTGCAAGCCATTGTCAAGGAAGCATTGCGATTATGCCCAGCCCCCCCTCTATCAGCACCGCAAGAAGCCATGGAGACTGTACAGTAGTGGACTTCCATGTTCCAGCAGGCACTCTCCTTCTCGTTAACCTCTGCCCAACATTTGGGAATAGCCTTCAGGATTTGTGTTTGAGCGGTCCCTTAATGAACAAGCCAAGTTTGATGTACCATTTGGTTCTGGTAAGAAGATGTGTCCAGCTGTTACTTTTTGAGCTTCGAGTCACTAAGCTTTGGCTCGATCGGCTGCTTCATGGATTAACTCTCTCCATATCTTTCTTTGACAAGCAGAGAATAACAATGACGAAAACAAAACCTTAACCTTAAAATTATATCAATATATATTCCAAAGCTTGGAATATGAAAAATAATTAAGGAACCGCTCAAACACATATTCTGATGGGTTTTCCCAAATGTTGGGCAATGCTTAACGAGAAGGCGAGTGGCTGCTGGAACATTGAAGTCCGCTACTGTACAATTGTCCTTGGCTTATTGAGGTGCTGATAGAGGCGCGGCAGGGCATAATCGCAATGCTTCCTTGATAATGGCTTGCCCTTTGGTGAGGTTTATTATTTCGGACTCCTCCACTAGCCGATCCCTTAATTCCTACCTGGGTTTCAAGTTCATCCTCAGCCTTCTGTATGCCCGCTGTTCAATAGCAAGTAAAGTGCCCATGCAAGTCTAAGCACAGTGGTACTGTCATTGCCACCTAAGACAAGGCTTTGATAAGAATGGCAAAAACAAACCCTTAGCCTTGTTCTTGCTTGGACTTTGATATGTCCTTGCATTGGATTTCATGTGATGTTTTAAGGTTAGAAGGTTTGGGGTTTGTATTTAGCGTGTAATTAATTAGGGTTTTGCATATCAAACTTTCAGAAAAGTTTATTATGAGTCTAGAATTCATGTTTTCATCATAGTAAGTAAGCATATATATATATATATTTGTGTTATTTCAGAAGAAAATAATGTACACATATTTAAATTTTATGGTCACAATGATTAAATTGAACACTCAACTCAAGGACATAAGGATAGCCATCAAGTTTGATAGGGACATTCAATTATTAAGAATGTTAAATCAGAGAAGTTTTCAGAGCAAGTTTGAACCGCAGATTAAATGAGGGATTCTACTTCGCTGACAGAGTTAAAATCTCTTTCATTCTTCTTTTTTTAAATTTGGTAAATTGGATCATATCGATTTAATTATAATCTTTTACATTTAAATAAATTAATTAAACATATATATAAATTATTTGAACTTATAATATCATTAATTTAGTAGTTTTAAGCTAAAATAAAATTGATAAGAAAAGTAATGTTTTATATGGAGGGTCGGGGCCAAAATCATAATGCATGCCATAGGTTGCATTGCATGAACTAAAAGCTTCAAAAATTGGAGTGGTCCAGTCGGCAAGATTCATGTGGTAATAGATAGAAAAGACCAGCAGGAGGACCAAAGGCAACAATTAGCACGATTAGAAGTTTGAGGACCAGACCAGTAGAAAGTTGTTCAAAAAGTAAATAATTTTCCATGGTTTTGCCTTTCTGTGGCAGTCCAACAGCTACAAATTGTTATTTTTAATTAGTCCTTTTCAATGAACAGGCACAGCCTGTCATATATTTACAGAAGTTGGATATCCGATTGAGACCTGACATGGATTTTCAGCCATTATTAAAGGGCAGCCGTGAAGCAAACTACTAATTATCATTTGATTGGTAGCAATTGATGACTTGGATATCTTTCTTCTTGCTTCATTGGTTAAGATTAAGCAGCATTGGGAATCTTAAGCTTCCTGCTTTGAAGTGCAACCTACTCAAAAGAAAACCCCCATGGCTATGGTCAATCATTTCTGATAGAATTCCCTCCAAATTTTCTTTTAATAAAGTGGAACATCAACCACGTTCCCTTTAAAAAAAAATGGATTGCTTTTCTTGTTAACAAACCCTTTTCTAGGTGGGGGAACGCTATTCTTTTATTGGGATGCTGGTGCTTATCTGCTTTATTTTGCTAAAGGTGTGCTTCTTGTTTATAGAAACCATGGAATGAATCCAGCTCGAATTTGAGAAGCGGGCTTCTTTACGCCTTTTAGAGGGCACACACAGTTGGAAATCGTTCACGATCATCACAGTCTACCACCTTAAACATCTAAAAAGATGTATCAGTTAATTTAAAGAAAGAATAACATCAGATATATACCTTTGTACAAGTTTACTTCTTTCCACTGAGGAAAGGATCAGAATGTGACAATTTATTCAAACCAAACTAAAGGGTGAACAAAATAGTATTGAGTTTGAGGGTTTATCGTTTTCCCTGTGTTTTTTAAAGTGGAAAAATGATAAAGGATTGGAGGTGGAGGTAGTTGTCATTCCCAAGCTGATTTTGCCTAAGGTCTTCTCCTAAGGGAGCACAAGTAAAACTAGAAAAAGGAGAATAGTGGAGTGGTTCTGACAGCAAGATTCGAATTTTGAGATTGAAAGTATATGTATATAGTTAGAAAAAACTAAAAGGGGACTAAGGAAATAATTAGCATAATCAGAAGCAGTTAAAATTCTTATATGTATATATATGTATGTATGTATGTATGTATGTATGTATGTATAAAGTCAATAACTTTCATGGTTAATTTGTGGCAGGCTGGCAGTCCAAAAGCAGCTGCAATGTTTTGATTCATTAGGCACACAGCCTGGCATATAACTACAGAAATTGGATTTTTGATTGAGACATATATATGCCATAGGTTTTCTGGCCATTGTATATTGAAAAGGGCAGCCATGACAAAGTGGATAGAAATCATCAGTAGAAGCAAACTCATTTAATTTCCTAATTTGGATCTTTCTTCTTGTTTCATTAGCCAGCAATATTGGAAAATATTTGGCTCTATTCTTTGAAGTATAACTCACTCAAAAGAATACCCTTCATGGTGAATTGTTTAGCTCAAGGATCATCCAGAAAATCCCACAATTGATCATTTTTAGCAAACCAAACTCTTTTAATATATAAAAAGTTGAAGATCAACCCTCAATTTCATAAGATTGCTTTTCTTGCTGACAAATCGACTTTGTTTCTTTTTATTGAACCTTGATGCCTCTCTCTCTCTCTCTCTCTCTCTCTCTCTCTCTCTCCTTCTTTATCTATTCCAAGCAGCCTTCTAGTTCACAAAAACCATGAATCAATCCAGCTCAAATTTGGGAATAAGAGGTCTTCTTCACAGAAAATATGGTTATCTATTTCGAGGTTTGTTGATTCAGGAGATTAAAACTAATAGAAATGCTAAGTAAGTTTATGAAATTTCAGTAACTTAGTAACTATTGTTTCAATCACTTGATGCTAATGAAAGTATTAGAATTAGAAGATCATTGAAATGCATTTGTTTGTCTAATAAATAACAAAACAGTTTTACATACTAAAAGAACAAGCATTCGTGAAAATGATTAAAACTTGTCACAAAGGAGTTATCATTGTATGTCTCAATTGTTGTAGGGATCATAGAGAGTTACCATTAAATTATGTATGTAGTTCTTGAGGAATAGATAAGCATTACATAAAAATAATTATGCATTTTGAGTCTGTCAATTTTGCATACTATGTTTATTTAGAAGAAATATATGTAAGTATAGATTTGAGAAGTTGATATATGATCAAGCTTAATCGTAGTATAGTTTTGAGCTTAAGGGAAATCCAATTTGTTATAAAGTTATAGCCCATATATGTAAATTCATGTAAATGAAAGTGTTCTTATCAGTTATATTAATAATGTTAATCAGCTTATACACTAAATGTTATTAAAAAAATTGAGCTCACAACTATGGGCTTGAGCTAGAGTGAAATTACAATTAATAAAACATGGAATAAACTTAATATATTTTACCTATATAGTTTTGAACTGGCCCCTAGATTAAAGTTGGCTTATTGGCCAAAGGATCAAAAAGGTGAGTTTGGCAAATTAAAAGGCATTTCTTCACATAACAAATTTGTGTGCCACAACTGAGAAGGTTTGTTGGGTAGCTTTCACTTCTTTCCATTGAGAAGTTGATGGAACCTGGGAAAAAGTTGCATTGACTGATCACTTCTATCTTTCAGCTTTCAAAATGTGGACCAGAAACAGTACCCTAACCCATAATTTGAACTACAGGCTTGATTCTAGCCTTCTAGCTTAGAAAGGAGTAAAGGGCAAACTGAGTCCATGAACCCAAATGCGAAAGTGTGAATATAAGGTTAATTGTGGGGGGCACATCAAAGTATATGAAGTTGACAATGCAAGCAAGATGACTTTGGACAAATCAACATATATATGGATATAAAGATTTATTCAAATTAGTGTTAGGAAAGGAAGAAAAAGTGTATGACAGCCAAATTTTCTTGATTTTCAGAGTGGGTGAAGTAAAGTCTTCATTAAGAATTGAAAAGGAATTCTTGGTGGGAAATTTATTCGAGTTGGATACTTGATACCCTATCCTTGCTAACTTGGATTGACTTGTATCATTTTAAATTAAAGTATTAATTAATTTTGGGTGCTCTAGGTTCTGCTTTTGTTAGTCAATAAAGAAAGTATTATCAAAACATTGATATATAGTAGAGTGGAGGCACACTCTGGCAAGAATGCTGCCAAATTAAATGAACATCACATCCGCTTACCTTCATGAAGATATTATTGTAACAAAAGCAAAAAATGGGCATCATTGGGCCTCACAGCCTTGATTGTTCTGTTCATATAAATTAATGGAAGCTTGGGCCCAACCCACTTTAGAAAGTGTCCACTGGGCTCATATGGGCCTGCTAGCTACACAAACAGATATGAAGGCCCAACTAATGTTTATCGAGTAAATAAAAAGACAAAGAAATTATTTTTTTTATATTTCTAAAATTTTTTCATCAACTTTGCATTTTAATTTTTATAGTTTTATTTTATTTTCGTCAATTATCAATAATTTTATACACTTTAATTATGTAAAAAGTAAACAACCATCATGCAACAAGCTAATATGTAACTATCTTGCAAGTCGAAGCACAATAATATTATTTTAAGTTTTTCTCTTTTAAATATCATATGCGAACTTCAATTTTTTTCCCTTTTTTGAATATTAAAATGAATAAGGTAAATAAGATTAAATTGTTTACCCTTCGAATAAAAAGAAACATTAACTGTAAATTTCCCATTTATCTCGCGGTTGTTTAAAAGCAGAAAGGAAAATTACTGCGTCACTAATAAGCTAAAGCTAAACCCAAAGTCGGTTAAACGGTCCCCCGTACCACAATATAGTCTCTTCTCCTATCTGTAATTCACCCAAAACCCCTGATTCACCTTTTGTGCCCTTACTTCATGGCTGACACCGCCACCTCCACCTCCACCTCTACCTCGGCGGCCGCCGCCGCCGCCGAAGAGCCACCGCCACAAGAAGCCAAAAAAGCGACTGAAGCACCAAAAAGATGGGCCGATTTAGAAGACGACCCTCCGGAGGAACCGAGCGCATCCTCAGCATCGGAGGAAAAAGGCGCGCCGGAACTCGACGTGGAAAACCTAGCAATCGACGAGAACAGAAAGATCAACAAATTCCTCGACGAACCCGAAGACTCCAACATCAAAGCCGTATAAATCCCTGAATCTAAACATTTTTCAGCTTTGTTCTTCATAGTTCGACTGCGATTTAGGGGTTTGACTTTTGAAATTTGTTTGATTTTTCTAGGTTACACCAGGGGATACACCGTACACGTCAGCGTCTACATTTGAGGAATTGAAATTATCACCAGAATTATTGAAAGGATTATATGTTGAGATGAAATTTGAAAAGCCTAGTAAAATTCAAGCTATTAGTTTACCAATGATTTTAACTCCCCCTTATATGGATTTAATTGCTCAAGCCCATAATGGTTCTGGAAAAACTACTTGCTTTACACTTGGAATGCTATCACGTGTCGATCCGAATTTAAAAGCTCCTCAAGCACTTTGCATTTGTCCCACTCGAGAATTGGCTATTCAGGTTAAGTTTTTGGAATTTCGAGTTTATTGAGGTTTTAATGAAATTGTGGTTTTGGTTTTGAAGATAAAATTTGGTCTTCTTTGCAGAATTTGGAAGTGCTTAGGAAGATGGGGAAGCATACTGGGATAACTTCAGAATGCGCCATTCCAATGGATAGTAGTAATTATATACCGATTTATAAACGGCCGCCAATTACAGCTCAAGTAGTTATTGGTACTCCTGGCACCATTAAGAAGTGGATGTCCGTGAAGAAATTGGGTGTGAGTTGTGTGAAGATTCTCGTGTTTGATGAGGCGGATCATATGCTGGCTGAGGTAACCTTTGTTTTTCTTGTTTGCATGTTATGATGTTGATGGAATTTAGAATTTATAATGCTATTGTACTCAGTATTAGAAAAAGGGAGGAAAAAAGGAACTTATGGTCATTTTGCTTTGTTGCAATTTAGAAATTTTGTTAATGCTGCTTCTGTGATTCTTGTTCTGGAATGTGTTGGAACCTAAATTGTCTATGCATGATGCTTGACTACGTTAGTGTAGTTGGGTGTGAGCTGTATAGGTATAGAGATGTTGCATTATTCAATAAATTCTTATTTATTTATGGTCGAGAAAATGTTTTATCATTTTATAGTTTTAGTCTTGACGATAATGAAGTTGATCATAAAGTTTTAATTATAATAATCAGAAATTGAGAAGGCATCTTGCAGCTTATCTTTCTAGTGGTATGTAGTATTTTTAGCTGCCTCAGCAATAGTTTGGTTGCATCTTTCAGAACTGATTTTGCTACATCCAATATGTAACTTTTGGCATATTAGGAGAAGTGTTCAGAATTTTTACTATATTTCTTTGTATGTTATTCAATTTATTGGAATGTTATTACTTAGGAGCATGGTTGTCGGAGTTGCTTGGGTAGGTTTTTGAGGCACAGTTATACAGGATGCCCAAAGCATGATGACAATAATGGGGTTCAGATAAGAATGAGGAGGGGTGACAAAGGATTTATATTTCCCAAATGGTAGGATTGATGTGCCATTAAGTGATTTTGGTTCTGATTTGCTGCCTAGCATTCCAAGGATCTTTGTTTATCATATTCATTAAATTCTCTGTTTTGGGATGTGTGTTTAGGAGAGGAGCATTGAGGAGGTTTGGAATGGCTTTGTTTGAAGACCATTTATTTTGGAATGAGGGACACTGTTTTAATTATATAGTGCTACCATATGATCTAACTGTTTGAGTAAATTTCATGCTTAGAGGAATGTGTTGTTGATTACTGATATGCTCATCTACATTTCTTTGCCTGCAGGATGGATTTAAAGATGACTCCTTAAGAATAATGAGGGATATTGAAAGGATCAGTTCTAATTGCCAGGTTTGTATAAAAGATTTGATGTAAATGTAATTTTGATCTATGATGTGGTGTGTCAACCTTTCTCTACATACTATCTCAACTTTTCTTTATCTTGAGATTGTTGGAAAGATGTACCTTAAAGTACTTGATCAATATGGATTAATCAGGTGCCTAATAAACTTGGAAAATGAAATGAAATTGGTGGTCCATGCTATTGTTTTTGAAGAATGCCTATGCATTGAAATGCTAACATCTTGATGCTGATGGGCTTGAATATGTACTTTATTGTTTACAAGGGCTAGTCTATGTGGGTATAGTTAGAAAGCATGCTTATCATTGTAAACTTAGTTTCTCAACTTGCATTGGAGAATAATGGCTGACTCATGCATGGTTTTGAATCAATTTCAAGGTTCTTCTGTTTTCTGCCACATTTAGTGAGACGGTCAAGAATTTTGTATCAAGGATAGTTAAGAGAGATCACAATCAACTATTTGTCAAGAAGGAAGAACTATCATTGGAGTCAGTGAAGCAGTTCAAGGTGAATGTCCCAGATGAACTTTCCAAGGTTCTGGTGATTAAAGAGAGAATTTTTGAATTTGGAGAGCGCCTAGGGCAGACAATAATATTTGTACGTACAAGGAATAGTGCAAGCATGTTGCATAAGTCACTTGTTGACCTTGGTTATGAGGTTACCACAATCCAAGGTGCTCTGAAGCAAGAAGACCGAGACAAGATAGTGAAAGAGTTCAAAGATGGTTTGACTCAAGTCCTCATTTCAACTGACCTTCTTGCCCGGGGTTTTGACCAGCAACAGGTATCTCTTCTCCTTATTCCTCTGAGTTGCCTGGCTGTATACAAGCTGTGTCATCCTGACTTGTATCTTGCTGCAGGTTAATTTGGTCATCAATTATGATCTTCCTGTGAAGCATGACAATCGTACAGAGCCTGATTGTGAGGTTTACTTGCATAGAATCGGTAGGGCAGGGCGCTTTGGCCGCAAGGGTAGGTTTCTGAATTAAAATGTGATTTTACTTTATTTGCTACTTGTTTAAAAGGTTTATACTGGCAATTGAATTCCATTTTATCTCTCATTAGAAGTGTTAATTACTGCTTCCTGATGCTTGATAAACCTGACTGGTAGCCAGATATGTAGTTCTAAAATGTTAAGCTTTTTCTTGATGTTCCAATGCTTTGACTTTTGTTAGACAACATGTGCAATTTGATGCCATTCAGTAGTTGTTTTATGTTATTACTTTTGTGTGTGTGTTATCAAGTTGGTTATAATTTGAGGGTGAAGTGTTATTGATTCAAGCAGCCAACCAATCGCTTTATAATGAACATTTGTGGAAGAGCAAATTATTCAGATGTATTTCTATTTGATTTGCAGGAGCTGTGTTCAACTTGCTCAGCGGTGATATGGACCAGATGATAATGTCCAAAATTGAAAATCACTTTGGCACCAAAGTAGCAGAGGTAAGCCCGCTACCTGGCTGTGGAGGTTCATATTAGTTATTTTTCTTTTATGCCCATCTGTTTTTCATCTAATTGCTTTTACATCTTATCTTCAATGCAGGTGGCCGACTGGAGGAATGAGGAAGACTTTAAAGCTGCTCTCAGATCAGCTGGTTTATTGTAAACAAAGCTTCAGTCAAAACTAGATTGTACTTTATTAAGTTATGCACTTTACCCTTTTTGGCGAAATTAGCTGGTTTGATTTTGAGAAGTTGATGTCCTGTTTTTGAAGTTGCTATTCACAAAATATTTGAACTGAAAAGAAGAAGAAGAAAACCAATCATTTGTGGTCTTTATTTTGGAATCTAAGTGGGAGAATTTTGAGTTCATTGTAGTTATATCTCGAAACTAAAGTTTGTAATTGTTAATGGATTCTTAGAGTAGTGAAGCTTTATATTAGGATTGAAGAAAGTAAACCTCGAATCCAAAATGCTAAAGCCAAGGGCCCAGGCTCTCGAAACCGAGGGCCTTTGCTTCTATGTGGTGATGATGATTCATGCATATCCTTAGTTCTCTTATTCCATCGAGAGACCGAATCTATTGGTTGTAAGCTCGCATGTGCACTAAGTGGCATGAAAGAACTAGAATTTAAGAATTCATGAGGAAGCGGACATTATAATAAGAATGATTTGTTTAATATTAATTTATGAATTGAACTTATGAAAAATTCAATAAATATTGAGTTCCTAAGGTATTGCCATTAGCTCAGGTCAAAAAAGGAAATCTCAAATTTCCCAAAAGAAAAAGAAAAAATGCCAACTGAATGAAATAATTAAAACAAGAAAAATATGGTAAATAAATCCCATCAAAGCACAAGTTCATCTAGTTCGGGCAATGGGAACCTTAGAATGGCGGCAATACCGGTCAGCTGCGCCAACTGCTCTCCTGAAACATGCTTAGGCGAGAACAGAAACGCTTTCCCTCCTGCTTTCTTCACAGATTTCACCAACTCCATATATTTTTTCCTCAATGCAATCTCTTTATTCCTAAGCAAATCATCCGTAATCAAAAGGGTCTCAATGGCCATCATCTCCTGTGCCGTTTCCACGCTCCTTGGCCCATAACATGCACGATCCGAATCAGTCAATAACAAGTCCGAAAACTCCTTGTAAGCCCTGATTTCCATCACAGCTTTCGTATCTTTAATCAATCCCATCACTTCGTTGTCATGCAAAAGCTCCTTCAAACTATTCTTGTTCCCTATATTTACCATTACAAATCGTGACTTGTTTTCTTCTACCCATTTCATCTTCAATCTTTGTGCTTCCTGGAACAAATAACCTCGAAACTCTTCTTTTGTAGAATCCGGGCTACCTAACACAACACAACGAACGGTGTTGAAATGCACATGCTTTACAAAAGCCTGAAAAGCCTGTTCAAACAACTTGTTTGAGGCGGTCTTATTGTTGGTTTTTAAAGCCTCAACCTTTGCAAGGGTTGTGACCTTGTGTCCAATCAGAAACACTTGAGCCGACCCTTGTTGAAAGAGCACCACGGCTAGGTCGGCTCCTGATGATTTTTCAGAACCTTCATGCAAAGTGTCAATGGCATCCGAGTCCCAGTGTTTCTTTGTAAGATCAATCTCTTTGTTCCTCTCAATCTCCAGGGTATGGTACGCACCGGACGCCATGAGTTCATTGGTTGCGAGGTTCCTACCCCGCACGCGCACTGTCGACGAGTCTTTGTCATAATCAACGTCCGTGATTCTGATTTCGAGTTTGGTTTTGACCCGAGTTGAGTCCTTCCTCTTGCCATTGGCAGAGTTTTTGTTGTGACTAACTTTCCTGGTGGTGTCGGCAACGATTGTGTCACCCTTGGCAAAAAGGTTGTAGGCAAGCCATAGATCGTCTTCGTCCTCCAGGATGATCTTGACTGATCCTGGTTGGTTAAGAGCGAGATTCTGTTGAAGAATCTTCATCTATTCTTTTTGGTTGTCCTTCTGAATCCGGTTTTCTAGATTTTCGTAGAGCTAATGGAGGAGAGTGCGTGCGGTTTCTGATTTATCAAGACTTTCGGTACTTAAATAAGGGGGCCTTCGTGTTAGGCAAGTCTTATATATAGGCGGTGCAGGTAGCTGGTGTGAATTGTCTTAACTTGGGTTTTCGTTTTGAATCCATGCTGAATAATAACACCTTCATAAATCCAAAACTGAGTTAAACCCCATGACTCAATGGAAATCCTTATTCAATTTAAATTATATCCCACTTTTTTTTATATATAAAAACGATATAAAAACATATTAATATACAATATCTATAAAAAAATCAACCTCAAGATTTTGATTTCTATTTCAGCTCCTATGATTATATTGATAATCACATATATAGTAGGTTATATAAATGAACAATTACCCTGTCTTTAGGATTTGCCTGTTCTTCATAACCAATGGTCACGGAATGAATTTCCATGATTGAAAGCAATCAGTAGAGCCACCAAGGAGGCTGTGAGTGAGCACTCCAGTACTAGTCAAAGAACCCCCCTTTAACATAGATCACCAAATGATTTCAACATTAAGCGACTAATTCAAATTCAAGACCAAAGTCAAACTACGCACACGTATATGTGTGTGGAATATTACAAGAATATTGGGTTGTTTTTTTTCATTAATATCACATAATTGAAGTTATTTTATTATTTTTTACAATAATTTATATGAATAAAAAATTATATGTTATACTTAATTTACAACTCACTTTTTAAATCTTTATAACAAATCCAAATATTAATGAAACAATCTATAATTCATCTGCTGTAACAAAGGGGACCTGAGGCCTTTATTTTGAATTTTCCCTTTTTTATGAGGCTTTTAACTCTTAACTTGGTCAAACTATTAATTAATATAGAGCTTGAATTTGGCACCTTTTAAGAAAGAAGATACCTAGTTGACTCTATAGCCTTTCTTCCATAGAAAATGCTGTACTAACCTACTACTAAAGAAGCCCAAATAACTACCCCAGAAGTTATATTATTAGGGGATCATAAGCATGTATTAATTATAAAAATATGTATAGGTCCAGCTATATATATATTCATGAATCTTTATTATTAGGCATCATGATTATGACTGAAAATACATTAAAACTATTGCATATAAGCTAATGCAAAATGGATTGCACGTCTGATCAGTAGTGCCCTCCCACCCCTACTCTTCCGTTTATTATATATTGTGCTTTTTCAGAGGAAATTATGTTCATTTCTGTACTGGACCCTGTCGAAGAAAAAGAGTGAAGAAAGATGGCTACGGTGGCGCTGATGTTAATTGCAGCATCACTTTTGATGGGATGCAGCATTCAAGCAAAAGCCACGGTGGTTCCTGCCCGCCAAGTTATAAATTTGGGTGGGAAAGTGATGTGCCAGGACTGCACCAAGGGCTATGGGGAATGGGCTCAAGGCAGCCAACCCATCAAAGGTACATATAGGATCGATTAATGTTTATTCCTTCATTAAGATTTGATTTACCTTTTCTTTTTTCTAAATTTTTTTTTTCCAAACGATTGCAGGTTGCAAGGTATCAGTGACATGCATGGATGACAGAAGCAGAATCATGTATTATGGAAGTGATGAAACCGATGAGCAAGGGCAGTTCAACATGGTTGTGAACAAATTCATCAACGGGAAAGAATTGCAGGCAAAATCATGCTTGGTAAGGCTGGTTTCTTCCCCGCATCCTACTTGCAACATTCCCAGCAACTTCGCCGGAGGACAGAGAGGAGTAAAGCTCCCAATTAGACCTACTGTTGTCTATCGTGGTTTGGTTCAATATCAACTTGACACCTTCTTCTACACTACCCCAAGGTGTGACAAACCAGCGGCCACCCATGATTCCTCTGAATGCCATGGAAACAATAATTACTAATTATGTTTATGGAGAGAAACATACTTTCATTATATTCTTCATAATCATCTTTTATTGTATCCAATTTGAGGCCACTTTTTTTTTTAAATGAATAAGTACTATACAGTATGTAATTTTTTTATTTGTTATTTTTTTTTTGATTTTGTTCAAAAGGATTTTAGTGAATTTAAAAATAAATAAAAAAATTAATTAAAATTTTAATTTTTTATTTAACATAGTACATAAAAAAATTTTAAATAAATATTTATTTTCTATTATAATTAATCAAATTTGTATAATTTTATTTAAAATCAAATAAATTTATATCTAACTAATTATTAATTAAAAAATTACTTATTAATTTATATCACAGACGTGACATGTCAGATTGACAGTAATAAAAATTGCCACGTAAAAAGTTGCAACGTGGCACAACCTTAACCTGCCACGTCTACTTACCAAATGTCTAATTGAAATCCTGATTGTGAGGAGCGATTCGATTCTGGGCTCACCCATGGCCACTTGGATGGTGAGAAAGCTACCGTCATCGTTGTCGACGTTTTCCTCGTCTTTGATTACCAAATCAACGCCGGAGATCTCACCTCCGTTGGTGGGCCATGGTGGTTGTAGACTCAGGTGGGCCTCCTCTTCTTCTTCGTCCTCATCATCAACGGCAACGACTTCTTCAAATTCTTCATCTTCGAAGCGAGAGAAGAAGATAACAGACCGTCTATCAGCCGTGATAGACGCTGTCAACGACCGTAAACTTCCTCCCGAGCTACGTGGCCAACGCAACGCCGTCAGGTCTGTTTGTATATTCATGGCTTCACTTTAATCTGATATTCAACTAAACATTATAAATTTTCAAAATTTTAAATAAATAATGGTAAGTTTGTAACTTTACCCTCAATTATTGTGAGTTCTTCATGGTTCTTTTATATAATTAACTGATAAAGAGAAATCGGAAGAATTTTTTGTTTGGGGAGCGAAGGGAAGTTTGAATTTTTGTAATTTGAAGGTATGCATTGGAAGCAAACTAGTTGGCAAATTAAGACTTAAAAATGCTTTTTACCTTTTTAATTCTTCCACAATTGTGGATTTTGATTTTAATTGGGAGGTTAATGTTTTGGTGGTTGCTAAGCCGTTTAGGCTGTGAAGGTGATTCTTCTTGGGAAATGGTGATTTTTCATAGTTCTGGGGCTGTTTCTATGTGCTAATAGTCACTTGACATAAAATTTGAGCTGCCTTTTGATTTGGCTTACTGGTCTTTTGGTTTGTATTGGTTGTTTTCTTGTATAGGCCACATTGTCTACTCTGCTTTGTCTCATATTTTAATGGGGTTGGCTTACTATGTTTGGGGATCTTATAAACTGTGACTTTGGTGTGTGAATGACTTTTGAAAGAGAGCTGGCTATGGTGTTTGTAATCTAACATTGTTAATTTGGAGGAAGACTTAGAACTGAACGCATGCTGATGGCCTGATGCACTATATATTTATATATATATATATATATATATATATCTATTCAATTCTATGATCCACATTCAGGGTAAAAACGTTAATAGTGTCAAAGGTTTTTCCATTTTTTTTTTGATAAGCAAAGGTTTTCCCAATTTAATCTCCACTTCACCAGAGCAATTAAATGGTTTGGTTGTGTCATTAATCGTTTTGGACAGGTCAGAAACCGACATTATCAATGTAGTTGAGCAAAGAATATGGCATTCAATGGAAGAGGGTCAATTTGAGAATTTACCAGGAAAAGGCAAACCTCTTAACCTTAACACCAACCCTCATGCAGATCCAGCAGAAGACACTCTCTATAGAATTCTCTCAAAGAACGGATGTGCACCTGAGTGGGTCGAACTTAACAAGGAGATCAGGAGTAAAGTATTGGAATGGCGAGTCGCCTTGAAGAAAGCGTGGGAGAGCAAATGCAATGGAGATCATAACAAATGGGTTGAGTGTTCTGAAGCCTTAAAGATACAATTGCGTGACATCAATGATAAGGTAACCCCTTGAGCTCTTAAAAATGTTTCTTTTCTATGTTTAGATCAATTATGTCTCAAGTAAATGTAAGTTGTATCTTATGATTGCAGGTTTTCCGATATAATCTGATTGTTCCTTTTGGCCGCCAGATGTTTGGACTGAAATGGGAAAAAGAGGTAGCTCGCTTAGAAGAATAGCTGGAATCACCATTGTTATGTTTTCCTCTGACAGTCTATTAGTTGTTCATAGATATAAATGTTTGTTAGTTTTAATTGTCTCAACTTGGTACAAAGTGTATAATATATAATACTTGTAAGGCGCATCATAGTTCTCCTAAGCCACAACCACAGTTCAGTTAGTGGGAAGTTTTGTATGGTACGCATTCTTGGTATTTTACTCTTATACCTCACTTGCTGCAATTATCCATGTCCCAGTCATGAGAATAATGAATATCGATTTATCCCGTTTGTAATACTAATTCAAGTTTATAGCTGCAGTTTTAGCACAAAGGAACTACTGGCACTATATATATACATATTCAATGCTTTGGAGCCTCGTTTGCACACTTTCCCATCTTAGCAAACATGTAACTATTGATAACCATGTTATTTTTCTCAACCCGGCTGACCAAAAAGAAAAAGTGGAAGGACCGAATTGAACACGTTATAACTAGAGAGATTTAATTAATTGAAAAAGGTTCAGAGGTTTATTTGGGCTATAACGAAGTGAGAATATATGAATTTCAGACACCAAGAACAACCAACACCCTCTCAATATTAGGTATACAATCAACAACTATCTCCGAGTGTTTCCATCATCCAATCGGAGATGTTTTAGCTGCAAGATGAATGAGAGCTCGCCGCTGGTATGTAGTTCGGAGCTTCTTGTACTTCTGCACAAAAGTCCCTAGATCTAACTCCCTGTCAAGGAGCTGCCTGTGCAAGGCTTCCAATTCCTCTTCTGTTTCATTCATTGCATCTGCGGAGATGAAACACTTGTTTTTATTTCTGATAAATCAATTATATCAAGTCCGTGCCATACAAGTATATTATCCGTAATATGTACCTTGGAGCCTACGGATAAATGATGCGGGGGAGTAGTACTTCAAAGTCTCTTCTTTCTGTCTCTCAAGCTCATTTAGTTTTTCCTGAGCTGTCGCCAATTCTGTTGTCCGGATAATTCTGCACTGTGGTCATGGAAGAAAGGAAAAAAAAAAGGTTTTACAATCTGATATACTAACATTAATCAATGACACAAAAAGAATAATGTTCTGAAAACCTTACCTGGTTTCTTAGCTCCATTATTCGTGGTTCTTTATCTAAATTGTTCCCTGTTTATCAATTATCTATAAATTAGCATTTGTCCCCTATGCACATTATATCTATAAAATATCTGGCACTATCATAATAATCATAGAAGAACTCACTAGCAAGCTGCAAAGTCTCCTTGCGAAGTTCATCTCTTATCTGGTAAAAGTTATCAAGAAAGAGTAAGAACTAAGGAACCAAAGAAATGACGAAAAACAAGGTATGGAGAAATAGGGTATTCATAGCATGCATGTGTAGGTCATTCCAATGAATTGCATCAAATCAGATAGCTGAAAGAGCTACCACACCATAATACCAACAAAGAACTGGAGTAGTATGCACAATTTACATTAAAATAGATCACAGAGCAAGGTAATAGTTAATGATGAGTACTGCTCATATTTAAACCACAGACCCAAATGAAAGAAATAAGGGTGAAACAAGAAGATCCAGCTAACTGAATTTGACAGGCTAGCCACCACCGCTTCAATTGATGTTAAATTTTATAAAATTAGACTATCTCCAAGATGAATACCACCATAAGGTCATCTTTGCCTTAGTATTTAAAGTTGAGTCTTCCTTTCTAAGTCCTTTTGATGGTCCTACTCTACACATGACAACATGTGCACAACTTTCAACAAGAGTTGTGGAATCATCCCTAATAAACAGGAACATAGTCCAACTAACTTCCAAGACAATCAAAACCTTGTGAGACCCTCCTTCAGCTCCTGCTGCTATGCACCTGTGGGCTACCAATGTGCCACTATCTTGCTAGCCCCTATAATATCAGCATTTGGACATTTGACATAGCAACACCAGCACTATGAATCAATAATCTGAAAGACATTTTGATTTTGGGTTCAGCAATAGACTATCGATCTCACCAAATCCACTGGTTAACCAAAAACCTTGTTTATACCACGGCTGAAAGGCCAAACCATCAGACTATTTTAGAGACCAGAAACCAAGAACATTACACATGGTGCACAAGGGCAGACAATATGCAAAATTCTAACTTTGAAAAGGTGAAATCAAATAAAATAGGGAAATTTTGGTACTCACATTGTTTTGAATTTTAACCTGGTCAACCGATAGTAAGAAGTGATTGTATGCATCCTTGTCTGACAAAAGCTTCCGTAATTCATCAACGCTAAGAAAACAAGAAAGTGATTAGCAATTGCAAGATACATTCTTAAAAAAACAAGCACTTTTGCTTCAACAATATCTTCCCAACATTTTTCTGAAGTCAAAAATACAAATAATTAAAATGAAAAAATGGCAAACTGAACAAAAGAGCATAATAAATCAATAATAAAGTAAAAAAAATAAGTAGGAATTACAATTTTAAATTTTTGTTATAAGATAAAATGAAGATTGCTGGCTAATAGAAACATGGAGTGCAAGAACCAGACATCTCACTTTTTGTCCTTTAAAAGAGCAATGATTCCTGCAGCTTCAGCAGGAGAAACAGGTGTGGGAGAATGTGGCCGTTCTGCAGGCCTTTGTAAGTTGAAGCTGTTAGAAGCGCTGCTACTTGGTGTTGTAGGTCGGGAAGAACTAGGGGAGCCAACTACGGAAGGAGGATACCAAGAATGTGAAGAACCCTCCTGTGGACGTGGCTGAGCTTGCTGCTCCTGTGAACTCCTGCAAAATCAAAATTTTAGTGAAACGAATAAACAAGTCGCAATTTTTAGGTTAGTGGAAAGATAATAGCTCCAAATGAAGTTAAAAATATTACAATCATGTTTAACTTTTGAAAGTTATTGCACAAGTACAACAAAAACGCAACTAAGCCCTGACTATTCATGTATTTACATAGAAAGGCAATTTATGTACCTACACAACTTTGAGAATAACACAAATATTGGGCATGGACAGTATTAACCCCATTAAATCCAACATAAGGTGCACATATTGCAGGTGTATATTGAAACTACTAGGTACTAGCACCAAAAATACAAGAAACGTGTCCATATTTCTGACTTGCTATAACATGTTAATCAATTAAGGGATGCTCATCCTTATATCCAACTTCATGGAGATTATAAGTGAATATGTATCCCACATTAGGCTCATTCAAAACTGCTAATGTTGGTTTCGTTTCTGACATGAATATGGAGTATTCAATTTTAAACAACAAACAAACGAAAGGAGATTGAACACTTTTGATTTAGTAACAATTTCTTATCTAACTGAAACATGTTTTACATAAATTTCTCCGACCCAATCAAACAGCCTCAATACCATAATAATAATAATAATAATAAACATACAACATATATCCAAAATCCAATGAAATGGGGGATCAACTGACAAAATAAACCCCAAAAATCGAACAAACCCGCAACTATATGAGTTTCATAGAAGCTCTAAACAAAGTTTAAACAAAGTCAGAAATCCAAGTGAAATTAATCAAAATTCACGGGCTGTTCAAAATATATCAGCTTCACAGAAAAAAAAAACCCCAAAATTAGGCTCTGGATATCGAAATTCAAAAACATTAAAGATGGGAGCGAATAAATTGAACCTGATTATCCATATAAATAAAAAAAATTAATCAAAAAGAGATGAAAGAGTTGACAAAGAAAACTACCAGAACTTGAACATAGCTCGTAAGAGGGAGGCTTCTTGATCGTTGGATAATCGATCGACCCAACCAGTCGAAACAGAAACTAAAAAAGACCCTTTGATTGATTGAGTCTTCGACGAAGCCAAAGAAAAAGAGTAAGTTGTTTCTTTCAGAGTAAGGAAATATTATTTCGATTTTTTTAATTATTTTTGGGGAGCTTTGGGTTTGTGAGATTTATGTTTGTGTAAAATTAGGTTTATTTTATTTTAACCACTTTATTACACGTGGATGGTTATTATTGAGTTTGAACAACCGATGAGGCTTATGAGAGGAAGGAACCTGAAAAGTTCGAGCATTTTTCCTTCCACCGGATCCTCTTGAGCAATACTTCCTTGATACTTCGTTATGACTGTAACAATGTTGTAGGAACTAATTTTAGCGGTTTTGATTTCCATTCTAATATTTTCTTTGATCATGTATTTATATGTATTTAATTAAATAAATTAATAAAAAATTAATACTAAAAAAGCAATTGAAAACAAAATAAAATTCTCTTGAGAATTTTTTAATTAGGATGCTATTAAATAAATTCTTACTCCATTCAAAAAATTTTAAATAAATTTTTATTTTTTCATTACATTTTATCAAATTTTATATTATTATTTTGAATTAAATAAATTTTTATGATTAATAAATTATTAATTATCATTAATTAAAATATTACTTATCATTTATATTTAAATAGTACTTACATAATATTTATATAAAAAAAATATCACATGATCATATTATTATGTCAAATTAATATATTATATTATTATTAATTATGATATGTTAACATGTTAATTATATATTCATATGTCATATCAACATTACATAATATAAAATAACAAATGATATTTTAACTAAATGAATTATTGAATATAAGACTCATTTAATTTTAAAAAAAATTATAAAAAATTTAATTAAATATAATAAAAATATAAAAATTTATTTAAATTTTAATAAATCCTTCAAAGATTTTTTTAGATATTATGTTTTTTATATTTAACTGATAAGCATAGGCCCATAAATAGAAATGCAGGCAGAGGGTCCAAGTAAGCAACAAGGGATCATATTTGTAGCCCAAGTATGGTTTAATGGGGCCTGGGCTATGAAGCCTGGTACCGACAAAATTTGGTAAAGAAGGCGATGAGTATTTGCAGGAATATAAAAGCAGACAAAGAGATTCGATTTTGGTCCTTAAAATCAAATTTGAAATATGTTTCACGTAACATGTTAATTCATGTCAATTTTGGGGCAAGCCCACCTATGTACCTATTGATGTTACATCTGAACCACTCAAACGTGTTAGTTGGTGGATATTATATTCTCAATTTCCCATGCTCGCCTTATGACTTTCCCTTCTCCTTAGTTATAAACAACTATTAATTTTTGTTTTTTGATTGGTTGTTTATACTTTGTTTAATCAGGAATGGGGAATAACAATCTAAATGATTGGTTGAGATAACAAATGTTTTTATATAAGGGTGATTAACAAAAAAAGGAAGAGAAACAAGATAGAATAAAACAATTAAGATATCCCTCATTCCATTAGATTAATAATGTTAGTAATAAAAATGAAAATTCTTAAAAATAATGGTACAATTTTAAGTAAAAAAATATAGAACAATTAAGTGTCAAATATTAAATTTCAAAGGTACCTCAAATTATATGGTATTTTTCTATAATTTGCCCTTTTTATATAATATGATTGACTTTAGTTCCTAATTACTAGTTTATAACGAAGGGATTGTAAACATAAAACTTAAAAATTATACAAATTGGCATAAGAATTAATTGCTTAATGTTACACATAGATAGGATTCGTACATAATACTGGGTTGATAGCAGGCTGCAATTAGTAATTGAAAATGATGCAATGATAAACAAAAAGTTTCAAAATCAGCTTTCCTTATAGACCCTGACATTAATTTGATAGTGAATGCAGCTTTTGATCATAAGCATTTTTCCCATAATGGTTAATTAAGTGCTTGATCACATGCATGATTATTCCTGAATAATTTTTGGGATATTGAGGCTTCTTTATCCGTTAAAACAAGTAGAATCAAAAGCTAAAGTTGAAATTTCACCACCATTTCAAGCTAACATTCGAATCATCATCAGTTTAAACTTAAAAGAGCCCCTGTACCTGTACTTGTGGTTTCACGTTTAGTTCCCATGAACCTGGAAACCGCCAGGAAGTGCTGAAAAGAAAGAGACTGCAAATGGGGGAAAAACTAGTTTTAGTCTAACGGTGACAGTCAAGCGGAAAACAGCCAACCCATTGGAGTCTAGGCAAAGGAGGACATTGGCGTGGACAAGCACAAAATCTTGTCAGAAACAGACACAGTTTACTTTTGAAACTCGAGAGACAGGAGGAAGCCCTTTTTAAGGGTTTACGAACTTGCCCAAATGGGTGGTGGTCCATCAAAATTAAACAGCCGGATTTTGGAATTTACTCCATTGTAGGACGAGAAGAGGGTTCACCTAGTTTACCCCATTTCCATGTTATAGATCTGTTAATTCTTTATTATGTGGCTAACTAACAATACGTTGAAAGGTCCCTTCAAGTTGCCCTGTTTTAAGGAAGGGACATCCCTTTTGAGAGGACCACATGGTTTTCTTTTCATCCAGACAGCGGTCGGTGACCTTTTGAACATGGAAATGGGCAGTATCCATATCCAAGTTGGGAGAAATGAACATACGACAAATTCATTCCTTTGTGACGACTCCGACTGTGCATATATAAGACTTGTTCACATTTGTAAGGACAAATTTCCTCTCAAATTCGTGTTGGTTTATAACGTCTACTTTCCAATTATTCTCCTTGGAAAAACAACCCCCAAATGCAATAGCAAAATGAAAAAAAAAAAAAAGTCTGAAGTCAAGTGAAAGCCATCATAAGAACCCACAAGGTTTTTTAGTTTATTTGTAAGGAGTTGACTCAGGTTAAATTTAAATTACTCATATAGATATATGTTTCCAATTCCCTTTTTCTCCTGCAACAACTTGGATTTGTATTCAAGACTTTATTGATTATATTTATTTTATTTTTCCAAACAAAAATACTAAATCTAGTTTCAGAAGCAACCAAAATCTTAGGGATATGTCATTGTATAGTTCACCAAAGACCTAGATTATTTACTTTCTATCAGAGGATAGATCATGGGAGGGAGTGGTACTTTGCACCTCAAATGTCAATATCAAGTCACCCTCTTGGTGGTTCCAAGGTCATGAGCTTACATATACATGTATGTATATTTTCGACATACTCTTTGTTTTTTCTGCCTACTATATATAGATTTCTGATCAAAATCCAATCAGCCCATTCGGCATTTAAGGCTGCCATGTGGCTTCATAGGATATGCCGGAAACTCATCATGGTTTTAAGTTTTGATTTAACACTAGATTCTAGGAGTAACATGAACATTTTATGATTGGATGATCATCAAAGCTAACATGCATATTAGAATTATTATTACATTACATCTGATTTTACAACTAGAAAGAGCTTGCTATGATTCACGTTCCCATATATTGCCAGCCTTGATTCCTACACAAAGGTATCCCATCCCTTTTTTAAAAAAATAATAATAATTTTCTGCATTGAACCAATCACTTTCTGCCACCTCAAGAAAAAAAATTCACAATCATGCATGAAATTAATATTGTTTTTTTTTCTTTTAATTTTTGTTTTTGCTAACTTCACCCTTATTGGCATTTGCGTTCATCCTTTTTGGTAGCCCTCCTTCAAAACATGCGCCTCAAGAAAAGCATTTCTTGGCAAGTCCTTAAAATGGGCTGTTTTACTGTTGGGAATTTCTTCTTTTTCTCTTTAACTTGTTTGTTTAGGCATAAAGTTTTGGATCACATTTTACCGCATAATTCGCATCCGTTTCCCATCATATTCCATACCTACCTTTCTCTCAAAAAAATGCTTTTCTCTTTGAAGGTTTACCAAGTACAAAACCCTAATTCAAAGTCTCTTTCTTTCTCATTTGTCTCAAACTCTTGAACATAATAATTCCCATGCCTTTTGGTCCATGATCACATGAAGATTTTATTGCTAAAGAGTAAAGGGTCAAACAGATATATCCCATAAGTAATTTCATACAAAATTAAATTTTCTTATGTTACAAATAAGATTCCGAGATCCCATAGTGATCGGCATTACATTTTAATTATGAAGATTAAGAATCTCTTTCAAGCCCAAACCATGTCATATTCTAATTTGTCATACTTTAATGGAGCATAATATATATGAATGATTTAAATCCTTAGACATTTTCCTTGTGCAATGCTGGAACCCACCAAAATGCACTGTGCAGCCGGCAACCCTATGCAACTATATTATATTGGTTTAACAGCTGGCTATTTTACTTAATACTATATTCAATAACATTACATTACATCAATTATACATTAAGCTTTTAATTAAGGGTCTTTGTTTACTCTAAATCCAAATCTTATTTGATAATTGATAGCACTTGTTGCCTAAATTAATTTTGATTTATGAATATGGAAAAAAGAAAAATTAATGTATTGGTTGATATCTTTTTTTGTTTTTGGATTAAGATCTTCAATTTGTTCTTTGATTGATGTGCCGTTATGTGACTTATGTCTCCTTTTCATTACGAAAAATTGAACATGTGATTTTTTTAATCAAATTAATTAAGAAAAAAAATTGACTCTTATACACGTTTTAATTTTTGAGTACATAGAACTCAACTTAATAAGAGTGTGACAAGAATTTATTTATCAAAATCTATACATTCTTGTGATTTATTGATTAAGTTTTATAAGAACTTGCAAATAAAACAAATTTTCTTGGAGAAGAAAAAAAATTAATGTAAGCATCCATTTAACCAATGATAGTATGTTATGAATTACATAGGGACTTAGACATGAATAAATATTTTTATTATTTATAATCTAATTAATAAAATAAAAAATAAAAATTAATTAAAAAATTTAAAAAAATAATAATAAAAAATCTATATTAATTTGGAAATCCTAGCTCTGTGAAAAGGCCATCATCATTGGCCACTCTCAATTGTCATCCATCATTTCATCTATGTTCTCACGACAAAAGAAATATCTCATCAAAATGAAAGAAACTAAAACAGTGGGACCCTTTATTTAAAACCACCCGCCCTGATTAAGCCACGTGGAAGCCTGCACATGTGGCATAAAAGTAGGTGGTGATCATTTGTGTGAACAGCTATATCCAGCAAGCCTCATTGCATAGCCAACGGGGCCGACCTTGTGCCTACGTCGAGACGCAAAAGAAGAACCAAAAGTAGCGTAAGCGCCAAAGGCATCCTTGTCTATTCATCCAACGGCTGTGGATAAACTTCAGCCACCACGATCGATCTCAGCTGTTGAAACCATCCCAGACCTTGCAGCATTTGTTTATGAGCCTGGTCCCTTAGTCCAGGCGTTGTTTTGTTGTTGAATTCTAAGTTGCAAATTCGTATTAGGCCTTTCTCTCTCTCTCCTTTCTTTCTTTCTCTCTCTTTGCGTTTTGATCTCAACGTCTTCTCTTCCATTATCGTCAAAACGAAATTAATCCAACTTTTCACATTTCTTTCGCTAACCCCATTGCTGCAAAAATTTCTGCTTTAACAATGGTAATGCCATTGCCCATAGTACTTCTTGATTTTCTTGTTTTTGTTCGTCGTTCTTCCCTGGGTTGGTTTCTGGGTCTCATTATTCTTTTCTTGGTTTCTTGAGACAGGATACAATGCTGGTGCCACCATGGCTGGAGTCATTGCTAAGTACAGCCTTTTTCACAGTTTGCAGGACGCATGGAGATGCAGCTAGGGGTGAATGTAACATGTATTGTTTAGACTGTAAGGGAGATGCATTTTGCTTTTATTGCCTTTCTTCTAAACACAAGGATCATCAAGTAATTCAGGTAAGTCAATATTTAACCCTTTTTTTTTTCTGGTATACATTTCATTTCCATTTAAAACTTGTTTTTGGTAACAATGGGGTGGTTTAAATTTCTTTTGTTTTAGATAAGGAGATCTTCATATCATGATGTAGTGAGGGTTACAGAGATTCAAAAGGTGTTGGATATAAGTGGGGTACAAACTTATGTGATAAACAGTGCCAGGGTTCTATTTCTGAATGAGAGGCCTCAACCAAAATCTGGAAAAGGAGTAGCTCATATATGTGAAATCTGTGGAAGAAGCCTCTTGGACCCATTTCGTTTTTGTTCTTTGGGATGTAAGGTTAGCATTTGCCTTTCTCTATTTGCTTCACTTCACATTGTTTTCTTCTTCTCATCATAAACATCATTCACCACCCATCATGTATGGTCACATTTCTTCAACTTGCATAATAGCACAACATGTTCATCATCCCTGATTCATATGTAAAAACATCACCATCACAACTACCACCACATTGATCATGATTATCAATTCCATCATCGATGATTATATCATATGCATAAAAGATGGCTTGTATATCATGCTCCACATTGTATGGAAATTTTGCTTGGATTGAGATATTTGCAAACGAGAACTGTGAATTAATATCCTTTTTAATATTACCTTAGCTTGTAGGGATAAAGAGAAATGGGAATGCAAGCTTTACCTTAGAGGCTAAGAATGATGTAGTAATGGATAAAAGAGAAGGCATGTCAAGGGAGGAAGAGGAATTGCGTGAAGGGTCGCAACAAGACATTTACCCGCCCACGCCTCCCCCGCCTCCTTCAAGTGCAAGGAGAAGAAAAGGAATTCCTCACCGGGCGCCTTTTGGGTCCTAGAAATGCAACTCAAAAGCAACTAGTAGTCCCAGTATAATATTCAAATTTCAGAAATTACAATTGTTCGGGGGGTGCTCTTTGTCCTAACTAAGGGAGCTGTAGGGCACCAGTTTGGTTAGGGTGTCCAAAAAACAAAAGGGCAAGTAAGTTTGCCTTTTGGATTTGGGTCCCATTTACAACAAATCCCTCTCTTGTGAACAAGCCAATAATGCAAGAATTGAGAAATGTTATTATTGATAGTTGCAAGGTGTACATTGTAATTAAGAAATTAAAAGACAAGTCTTTGTGGAGTCCGTTTTATAGTTTTCATGGGTCCACCAACCACATGGGCCGTTCACATAAAGAAGCAACTTTTTATTGTTTAATTCATGTAATGGGGCTAATCAACTTTCTCCTTGTGACTGTTACCCAAATTCAACACCCCTCTCATTCAATTCATTTCTTTGTGGATCTTCTCTCATCGTTACTTTCCCTTCCTTTTCACTTTAACTTTTAGTTTGTTGTCAAAACTGTGACAAAATATATAAATCTACGTACTACTACTACTTTTTAAGACAACCTCTTCAAATTTAACCGAGGGAAGTACCATATAGCAATTACCAATTAGTGATAGAAATTAGGTATAGCAAAATTATACAAATTAATCAACAGATGGCTATACATTTGATGGTTATTTTGGGACTTCTCCGATACGCATCTCCAATCATATTTTGTTTTGGTATATATTTCATTTAATGTTTATTTTTAGCTGTTTTGTACACTTTATAATTAATCTCTATGTTTATAATGATCTTTTTTCCTTTCATGTTGGGATATGTAAGTGACAAGTGTCTAATCACGTTAAATATTTTTTATATGATTTATTTGTGTGTAATACGTTTTTATTTGAAAATTTCAACATAATGAAAGTCAATGGCGATTAATAGGTACAGAGGTCGGGGTTAAATGAACTTTATCTCTAGGTTTATAGATACATAGGTCGGGGTTTAAGTTTTGTGGGATCTGTGTTGATTTTATCTATAAAATTTTCCTCTTGCCTTTAAAAAACTTATATAATTTCATTAAATAATATTAGGTGCTTGGACCTTGCGAAAATGTGGAAGGATATATATAGCAAGAACAGAAACACTGAAACTAAGGCGGTGCTTCTTCTTCTTCTTCTCTTGACACAGTCAGATCTTATCTTGGTGGACGCAAAGTACTGTTGGTGTAACAAATCAAAGGATTTCACTGTCTAAACTTACTTAAACAACTTACAATTAAAATGAAATGAAATTATTATTTTTCTTAACTAGACATTGAAGGCATATGGAAAGATTATTCCTGTAAAAGCCAGTAAAACTCATAAAGCAGAATATGAAGGTTTTAACGTATTGTTTGGGAGAAAAAAGTATACCAAATCATAACAGAAGGGTGATTCAATCAATGGTACCCAAAAGAAGTGAAGGTCTCAAGAGTTCAATTTGTACTTTAATTTATTGCAGAACATAAGAAAAGGCTGTTGTTAATTGATTGGCTTTTTTGCTTATCACTTTTTTTTTTCCCAATCCCTTTATCTGCGTGACCGACAGGATCGTTTGAGTATTTTGATATCTCTATAGATATCTGCATGCTTTGAGTGAGGGGCTTCCATATATTTTTTTCATTAATTGTTGAAAGGGGGAAAAGGCAAAAGTAGCTAAAAACTAGTGTAGAACTGCCTGCAATTTACAGTTTCACATATTTTTAGGGTTTTCCACTAACAAAATTAAAGGGAGATAGAAAGAAAAAATTGCATTAAAACGAGCAAAACAATCGAGTTGTATTCGGACAAAACTATGGTATAAAAATTCGGAAGCTGGTTATTAGAAAAACATAAGCTATGATTATGAAGTATTAATTTGGAAACATAAATAGAAAACAATTTTTTCCAAAAAGCATTTTAATAGGGAAGAAGTCCACAAGTGGTGCTACTCCTTCCAATCCGCAATTGTGAGAAAGACCTCAACAATGAAGACATTCGATCCAACTGTTTCATCGACCGTGCCTTATATGAATTACTCTTTGCCAAACTCCTCTTTGACGTCGAAGAAGAAGAAATAGCCTCTTTCTCATTGTCGACTGTTAAGTTAATGAGTATATAGGACTGATCCATAGACAAGGATCGCTTCAACCCCGTGATCAAATGTTTCTGTTTAGTTTCCCTAGGGAACACCAGGGACACGCAATGCCTTAGCAAAGTATTTGATTGAACCCTGGAAGTAGAGGCGGCCCGGTCATGGGCTTGTCCATCATCATTTTGAGGCAAATCCTGAACCCTTTCCACTCCATCATCCCCTGGAGGCGAGGCTACACTAGAATCCGTGGTTACAGCAACGGATGTTCGACAAATAGGACAGCTAGAATGCGCCAGGAACCAATTGTCAACGCACGGAACATGAAAGAAATGCCTGCAATTAGGCAACAAACGTACACGTTCTCCTTCCTCTAGTTCTCCCAGGCAAACAACACATTCACTTTGATCTGTACGGAACTCTTTAACTTTTTCCCTGGAAAAAGACAGGATTGGAATAGTTTCCAGCATTTTGTGTTCAACCCCAGTTGCAAATCCTTCATCCTGAGTTGGGATCGAGGGATTTCTAGCATCCTCATCTGCTCTTCTCGCGCAGTATTTGACGAGTAACAAATGGTATGCAACTATTGCTAGAGTACTGGCAACTACGCCAGCCAAGGAAATCATCAATGGAGTTAAAAAGGATCCTGAAGGTTGAGTTACAGAGTTTGCAGGATCCATGACTCATCATCTACAGGATTTCTTTTTCTTTCCAGGTTAAGGCCTTGGAGGCGAGGGCTTGTTTATGAATTCTGATGCTGTGGAAACTTAAAGACAGGTTTATGGGATTTTGCAGTTGTTCTGAAACTAGAGTTTCAGATACCATGCGGTGGGTATTAAATAAGAAAAAGAAAAATGAGCTGAAGAGATGGATAGATTGTAGTGTTAAAAAACCTTTGGTCTTCACAAGGTGGCTCCAACAAAGCTGGGTTTCTGTTGCATGAAACTCGAGACAGCTTCAACTGGAGTTTACACGTGGCATTCTCGGCTTTGGACTCTGAGAGAAGTGCACGTGTGTGGTATATAATTGGAGAAGTGTCAATTTCAGATGGCATTGTGGAGGATGAGTAGATTTTGAAGATATGATCAGATCAAAGTTCGGATCCTACTATAATCTACCCTATTAAGGTGAAAAACACATGTGCCTTAAATTATTCCCTATAGTGCCCTGGAATAAAGGATAGTTGAAAATGTTGTCAGATAAAGTTAGGAAAAGTATAGGGATTATCTGAAGTATAGCAAGAATTTGAAGCTGGTGCCTCTGAATCTGGCCTTTTCTGATAGCCGGATGCCGTGGCTGCTGATGTTATCAACACACGCCAGATATACAAAGATAGGTTACCAAAACACACATTTGTGTTCGTATTGCATGATTACACGTAATCAAGGTAGCAGTTAAGAAATTTTCCTGCATGTCTTAATGTCATGATTGAATGTTCCCCCAGTATAATTAATAATAATTTATTAAGAAAAACTAAAAGTCAGCAAAACATTTTAGCAATATTGTTACCTATTAGACAAAGCTGGTTTCAGCTCAACTGAGCTCGCCCAGCCTACATCTTCCTTATTAAATGGGCCTACACAAAGCCGCATATGAGGCTGACTCATGGCCATGGCCCAAGTTTCTGCAGTCTTGAGACTTGACCCAATCCATATCTAACAATACAAAAACCGCATCAACATGAATATTCTTGTCTCCGACAATATTCATTTATTTAATGTCGCTGGCCATGCCTGAGCCTGAGTCCCGCCTTCAACGCCTGTGCGTGGCAAAAGGTCCTGCAGTTTCACTAAACTCCAATATGGTTTGTTGACTGGGCCATTTTTTGTTTACATTAATCAGCGTAATCTGTCAAAACAAGTTACATAGCAGATTGAAATTTCAGCCGTGTTATTTTCTCAGCAAAAGAGGAAAATTATTGGCACGAGGGTTGCATTGTTGAAGAAATAATTATGCTAATAATAATTAAAGAGATTCTTTTATCTGTGGCTCATGATCCGAAACACAAAAGTCAAACAACCTTACCTCATAGGACAAGGAATCTCATTTCTGGAAGCACGAATGAGAGCGACAATTGGAACCACTCACCTTTATCTCTAAAAGAACAGATACCCCACAGATTCTAAGCCTCAAACTCATTTGAATCTGTTCCGAGTGTTGAATCATGGTTTCCAAATGCATCAGCTTCCATCTCCATCCCCACCTTTCTCTTTACTCTGCAGTATCCCAAAATCCAAAATTCTCAAGTCTTGCCCCCACTCCCTTATTCTCGACTGGCACAACGACCAAAACAAAGGCCATCCGCAATCAAATTTATCATTCATTTCCCAAAAGATCCGCCATTTTAACTCCCATGGCATCGTCAGGTCAATCCAGTGTTGGAACAAAGTTTGATGAACTCGAACCTGATCCAACTCTCACCAATGATGACCTCAAGCCAACAACTCCTAGTCAAAGGAACTTCCACTGGTGGGAAATGGCCTGCCTTTGGATTGGTCTTGTTGTTGGTGTCCCATCATATTACCTGGCCGGTAGTCTTGTTGATCTTGGGATGGCTTGGTGGCAGGGAATCGCCACTGTTGTTGCTGCCAACTTAATCCTGTTAGTGCCATTAGTTCTCACAGGTCATCCTGGGGCCAAATATGGTATCTCTTTCCCTGTCTTGGCAAGATCAGCTTTTGGTATTCGTGGTGCTCATGTTCCTACTTTGCTTAGGGCATTGGTTGGTTGTGGCTGGTACGGGATAGAGAGTTGGATTGGAGGTGAGGCGATTTTCCTTCTGCTGCCAAAATCCATTAAAGAATCTTCCCTTTCTCAATTATTACCTTGGCTTGGCACTTCTGCCCTTGAATTTGCTTGTTTTATTGTCTTTTGGGTGGCCCAGTTGGCCATCGTTTGGAAAGGAATGGATGGAATTAAGGAGCTTGAAAAGTACTCAGCCCCAATTCTGATGATACTCACCTCTATCCTTCTCATTTGGGCTTATGTCAAGGCTGGTGGTTTAGGCCACATGCTATCCTTATCCTCTAGGCTATCTTCCTCAGAGTTTTGGTCTCTCTTTTTCCCTTCACTGACGGCAAATATAAGCTTCTGGGCTACTCTTGCACTTAACATTCCTGATTTTACTCGATATGCCAAGAGCCAGAAAGATCAAATTATTGGTCAGGCAGGCCTTCCAATCCTCATGGGGGCATTTACATTTGTGGGCCTAGCTGTAACATCTTCTACTAAAGTAATTTTTGGCCATGTGATCTCTAATCCAATTCAGCTTCTTGGACAAATCGGAGGATTCGCAACAAAGATCCTAGCCATTCTCGGAATAAGCCTAGCCATCCTCACAACCAACATTGCAGCCAATGTTGTTGCCCCAGCAAATGCACTGGTCAATCTCAGTCCTTCCAAGTTCACATTCAGAAGGGGAGCCTTGCTGACTGCATTGCTTGGCATTGCTTTTCAGCCTTGGAGACTACTAAAATCCAGTGAGAGCTTCGTATATACATGGCTAGTTGGCTATTCTGCATTGATAGGCCCAATTGGTGGCATAGTTCTAGCAGATTATTATCTCATTCACAGAATGAATTTAAGCATCAAGGACCTGTATTCATTAAGTCCCCACGGTGCTTATTACTATGCTGGAGGCTTCAATTTGGCAGCATTGGCAGCTTTGGCAATTGGGATTTTGCCAGTAATCCCAGGTTTCTTGCAAAAGGTGGGGATTCTACCTACGGTTTCAGATGCTTTTGTTGTCATTTACAACAATGCTTGGTTTTTCAGCTTCTTCTCTGCAGGTCTACTATACTGGATTTTGTCAAGTTTGAGAGAGAAACATACTAATCCTTTACCCTATGATCCCCTTTTGCCACCTGCAGCCTAAATGTTCTCACACACACACACACACATTTTTCCTTTAGTTCCCCTCTTTATTCCTCTGTATATTTTCACATTGCAAAAAGTACTAAATCTGCACGTTGTTCGTGAATTGTGAAGAATACTCAAGAGCTTTAAACACTCTCTACAGGTTGGAAATAGGGCGTTATGCAGTTGTAAACAATACTCAAGCTGTCACTTGTGTAGCTATTTCATTGAATAGAATTTGCAGAATTGTCATTCCTATGCCATTATTTGGTTGCATTTTCATTCCTAATTAAATGAAAAAATGGAAAGAAAAATTGAAGGAAAGCAAGCAGCACTACTGGAATGGGCTTGGGCTCATCTTCTTGTTAGCTTTTAAAATAAGTTCATCTCCTGGCCTAAAGAAACTTTTTTAGTCCAATTGCATTTGGATATATCTTCTCAAGTTTGGGTCGAGGTTTTCCAGCCCAAACCCAATGAAACAAAACCCAAAAAGTAATTCTCCTTGCGGTGTCCTGCGTGTGTTTTATCTTAAAAGGCACACTACACTGATAATTAGTCAATGATCCTATGGCCTTGTGAAAATTACTAGGAACAAAAATGTGATATTAAAATCCCTTATCTTGTATTATTCGGATTCCATTTTATTCAAAAGTTTTAATGCCTTTCACTTTTAAATATTTTTCAATGTATAATTTCATCGATCACGTGTCAATTTTTTTTAGTAGGAGTACAAAGCAAGTAGCAAAAAAAGGAACAAAGGTTGAGAAAGTTATTTCTTCAATTTATGATGTTGTATTGAATTTCTTCTCAAGTTAGGAAACCAAAATAAAGCCCAAATTTACGATGAAAAAAAGTTGAAAAAGAAAGTGGACAAAACTCATATCACGAGATTAATTCAACCATTAATAATAAAAATAATATATATATATATATTGATTAAGCATGAAGATAGTATAAAAAAAAAAGGGTCGACTCTGTTGAGAAATACTTTTCTATTCCTTTTTAGTTTTCAACCGAATTAAAGAAGCTCCGTGGAAACTATATAAGGCCGAGAGAAAAGTACGTAGCTAGCTAGACATGAATTAAAAATACGCATTCCCAGCAAGTGATCATCAATTTCTGGCCAAAAAAAAGAAAAAGTCATCATCCATACACACATATTTGTTTTAGACATAAAAGAGAGATTTTTTTTTCAATTAATTAATTATGTATTAAAAATTTGATAAAAAGTCAAGTTTATGCTAAAATTTAATCAACGGAAAGCAACTTTATCAGCATCCCAGTAAAAGACTATTTGAACACCTTATAAAACAAAATAAAATAAAATAAAATAAAATCATTTAACACAAGAATCACTACTTAAACCAGACCCAAAACATAAAACTAGCAGCAGCAATATAAAAATAGATATAAAAGAGTTGATTTGTAGGTGTAAGCACTAATCGATGGTGGGTTTTTTTATGTCAAACAATTGGTTTGAATTCAAGTTGTATTTGTTTCTAGCAAACTGATTAATGTACTATATTTCTTCTCAAATAACAATAATACTCATAAAAATAAAACAAGGCATCATATTATATGATTATTATGATTTTAACGACTAATTTATACAAAGTTTGTGCAAGTACCCAAGGTGGTACTGTATCATTTGTACACTGTTACAGATGAAAGAGTTATCAAAAGAATCCCAAAAACCAAATTGGGGTTGCTTTACAGTAAAATTAAATATAATTGATGTTGACAGCTTGGAAGAAGCATTCCTATCCACTATTTTGGGCTGAATCAAGGACATTCACCTAACTCTACATGAAAAATGCGTATATAGACTGTATGATAGGGAAAGAATATACATAGATGTAGCTAGGTACCAACCACTTCCATTACATGTTTGGGGCTATGCCAAGATGCACATGGTATCCATCATGAAAACTTTATGTAATACTTGACATCTAACAACCAATTTCTTGCTAGTTAGTTTTGTGTCAATCTCATTAACGAAACTAGACCACGAGAGAGATAGAGAGAGGGAAGATAAGAGACAGAGTGGGGGAGAGAGAAGTATAACCTTGATTTTGAACTTTGAATGCTGTTTTTATTCGATGATGATTGAGATTGAAGGATAGATATCACACTAAGTAAATTTGGGATTGCTTTCCTCTATATCCAAAGGCCCCTTACTTTGTGAGTCATGTGGTTCAATGCATTTTCTCTTGTTTGCACCTTTCAAAATGAAAGTCCCTGGATATAGGCACAAACACCTATCTTGACCCTTGACTGCATATATAGGAATAA